ATTTATTTTTAAAAGTATTCATAAAAGTAGTATGACAGATGTTATCTATTGTGCAAAAAGAATATGTCGAAAAATTTTATTCTATTAGAGAAAATACAATTCTTGTTTAAGGTACAATTATCTTACAATTACAAATAAATACTTCATTTTTTACCTTTTTATTATATCAATCCTATTAGAAATAACTTTGAAAAAAAACCCACAATACAGTCAGAACTACATGAGCATACGAAATAACTTGCTGCATAAAGGTTTAATTGATGTCATATGACGAAAAAGTATTTATGACAACATGTTAGAACTATAATTAAAATATGGATATTATTCAAAGTATATTGAATCAGTAATCTCGTGAAGTTTGAACAAAAACTCAATGAGATTTCGTCGAATTTAATAATATTTTCGTTTTCTAAATGAAGTTCCCTACTATGTTTATATTATTTAATTAAGAGACTGGAAAATCAACTATTACAGTCATTTGTTCATTTGATTATATGTGAAATATCTTTTATTGAGTTTACATTTCTATGTTCGATCCATAAGCAAGTTGATGCACTGTTTTATTTCGACATGCTCGATAGATTTATAATATCGAGCCATTCTGCAAAGTCTAAAACTACAAAAAACTTTGGAACTAATAGAAGAACTACAGCATATTTCTGAGAGATTCAACTAATTGAAACTAATATATATCGAAGAAAAAATACGATAGAATCCAATTAGATATACTACGAAACTAGAACTTATGTACATTTCTCACTAGTTTCGAACATCATATTATTGACGAAATACGTATGTATCTTGAAGAATGTGTTTTGATTAGGTCGAAATTTTTTTTCTATCTTTCTTTTTTTGTATAAAATATTTTATTTTCACTTACAGCAAAAGATAGTTACAGAAATATTTCTATTTGATTGATTGATTTAGATATTGGATATTTCTTGTTATAAAAAGTCTTTATTATCTCATGTATGTATTTATTAATCTATATAGACTTCTAGAAAACAAAATATCTTCCGTCACTCTATCATATAGGTTTAATAGTTCGCTGAGGGTGGACGAGGGTATGTAAGCGTGGATGTAATATCTGTTTGACATCGATGGTATCCATGTCACTGTGCATAGGATTCTAAGACAGTTAATACCTTCGAAATTATAATCGATCGCAAAGGCATAGACCAGCAGATCAAGAAAGGAAAACCTGGTCTCCTATTTGGTAATATTATCAGATTGTCTTATAAAAGTTTAGAGATTACCCGACTTTCTACGCTGCTTTGTTGATCCGTTTCATGGACAACAGGAGTGCATAGAAATTCAACAACAAAAGAGATCAGTAAGTGTAGCTTTGACCAGACAATTAACGGCTGTTCACAAACTGCATTAATAACCAAAAAGTGTGTAACATTTTAGCAACCTACTGATATAATCATATCGATTGTACTGATACACTCCAATTTTTAGGAAGAATTTCAGAGAAACTCAAGGTCTTACTTTTTTTACACGACCGTGCCATCACCATAACTAAACATCATCAATTTAGTTGATTGTCTTTGCAGATCTACAGTTTACGATTGAGTGCGAATCTATACTTTAATCTCATTGAAAACTAAAACAGCTAAAAGACACATTATGAGGCATGATTTCGTGTACTGATTTCGAATATTTCATTACATTCTTCTAAAAGTGCTTCGAAAACATATATTTCAATTGAGAAGCATCTGTGCCATACATAAAACACTGAAAAAATAAAAGGTATCCTACGAAGAATCAGTGTACGAACATGGACAATTGTCAGATATCGCACTAATACACACAATTTAATTTTCGGAACTCAGGGTCATGATCGTGACCATGGATGACCGTGGTCAAAAAGGACTGGCCATGTCGATGTCTAGCTACCCCACCTTTCGATGCTGCATTCATTGACTGAAAGAGATGATCCAATCAATTTTCTTTCTTTTTCTCTCGTTATGCGATAAACAATTACGAAACTTACGAAACTATACTTCATTTGAACAAGCACGCTGTATCTCTACTCGTTGTGCAATTATGGCCAGCAGCTACTAATATCGAATAGTCTGGGACATTGCGATGGGACTTTTAAGATATATCTATTCTTGAAGGTCATTGCTAGAATTTACAGCATAGTCAGGAGGGCTCTCCACATCTCCATTAGCTTATTTGTAATCTCCTAGCTATTGTCCATCAGAATCGCGACAACGGCTATGTTCGTAATGTTTCACAGCAAAGTTTTAGATTTTTAGATAACTTTAGATCCCCATTATAGCGGAGGTGACATTGATATAATATATAAAATCTCAATAGAATTTAATAGTTAAATGTATTTTTTTTCACTATATTCACATTACAGATTTATCAAAAGTATCTATGGAAACCATTTTATCGTCCATTAAAAAAGAACTTCAATTAAATGATGATCATATAACAAATATTTATAATTTTGGTTCATGGGTTTATGGTACTAATCATGAAAAATCAGATCGTGATTTTCTTATTGTAATGAAAATTGAAAATAGTAAGAAAAGTAAACGTTTAAAATTTCGAAGAGATTTTGATTATTTTCATTCATTTGAATTAAAACGATTAAAAAATTGTGATGTAACAATTCATACATGTGAAAATTTTGAAATATTATTAGAAAAAAATTATATGTTAGCTGTTGAATGTTTATTTTATCCAAATGAATTTATTTTAAGAAATAATATTGATTATAAAACAATATATTTATCAAAATATTATAATCCATTAAGATTAAAACAAGTTATATTTTATGAAAATAATGATAGTTTTAAATATATAATTGATAATAATGAAAATGATTCAATTTGTTCTCAATCAAAATCTTATACTAATCCAACTATTGATCAATTTTTATGTGATGCTATTCATACGACAACTATCGATGAAGATCGACTATTGAAATATTTATTTCATGGTTTAAGATATTTAGATATAGGTGAACAATTAATTCGAACAAAATCAATAGATGATTTTAAACGTGTAACATATGTACTATATGAAATGAAAGATATATATATAAATAATAATAAAAATATTGATTTTGTTATTGATTATATTAGAATGAAAAGTGATGAATATAAAACAATAATTAATGAACTCGTGCCAACAAATATTATTGATGATACATTTGAAGTTCATATTACTGTTGAAAATTGTAATATAAAAGAGTTTTTAAATATCTGTAAAATAAATAAATTAAAACCTATTTTTCTTCATTTAATTAATGGTAATAATATCAAACAGTTAATAACATCATTATATCATGTTGGAACATATCCTAATATTATTGAACAAATTAAAACATTAGTCGATACAAAATTTAGAAATTTTAATATTATAAGATTAAAAATCGAATCATTAGCATGTAAGGATGGTGTACCAGAAAATGATATTGATAAATTATTATTTTGGAATAAAAAATTCAATTATTTTGAATTTCGTTATGAAATATTTGTAAAATCGACAATGGAATTTAAAAAATTGAAACAATTATGTTTATATAGAGATTTGCAGTTAGCACAAAATGTATTCGAAAAATCATCAATTGATGAGATGAACTTTATTGTTATGATGAGATTATTTAATGTTGGTAGAATAAATGCAATTAACAGAAATGATGATTTCATTCGATATTTGACGGAAAATAATTTTCTTCCATCAAAAATCGACAGGAAATTTATAGTTTATGATTCAAATATTGATTTGGATAATAGATCAACTCATGTTATATCCAATATGTCAAGTTCATGTTCAACTATCTCCAGTAATGGTCCTAAATATCGAATCGGTTTTAAAAATCGAAAAGTATTTAGTCGATCCACCGATTGATAGATCAAATCTTCACAATTTTTTTCTTATCGAACAGGTTTTATTTTCTAGGAAAACAAGAGAAATGTGATTATTGTAGGATATATTATGAAGAATACTCATTTTCAGCAGTAAAACTAATAAGTCATACTGAGTAGTTTCGGTTTTTCTTCTTATCGATCAAAAGTTGAATATTATCACTTGAAGAAATATAGCAGTTTTAAAAAATAATATTTTGTATAGAAGGATTTCGAAGTTTTTTTAAAAATTTCATTAAGGATATGGTTGGATGAGTAGATAGATCAGAATAAGCATCAAATATACTCATACTATAAACTATTACGATTCACATACTTCATGAACTTTAGAAGCAAAGAATGTTTGAACAAAACTATTTTATTCTTACTTTGTTATTCTATTGATTTAACCGAATTCGATTCGGATATCAGATCAACGATAACCAAAAGTCAGTTCAATTATCAAAGCTTACACCAACACTCGATGCCTAGTAAAGTTTTTCGTACAAGTAATCATATTACTCGGTGTGATATTATAGATTGCTCATCGTCTTGTCTTATTTTAGATTTTTAATTCATGGTGTATCCATCGAGATCTCTAGATTCGAAATGTGGATGAATCAGTGTATATGCTGTTTTTATCTACTCCCATACAGACACACATCCTATTTTGATTTTTTTCATTATATTTCTATAACCAATATTAAACATCGCTAAATCATATAAAGATTTTTTAATTTATAATGAAATATTAATCTGATTGTTGAAAATGTCTATTTGATTAATTAACAATAAAAAGTATAAATTTAAGATAAGCAATTCGAATAACGTTCAACTTTAAATAAATATGTTTGCTAATGATAGAGTACTGCAACCCGACCCGCGGGTGCGGGCGGGTTCGGGTTCAATCTTGTCGGGTGCGGGCGGGCTCGGGTTCAATCTTATCGGGTCGGGTCGGGTACGGGTCTGTCAGCCGTCGGGTCGGGTCGGGTGTGGGTTTGAAATTAAAAAATGTCGGGTTTTTATCGGGTCAGATTTTTTTGCGTATGTATGCTTTTGCCCTCTATTTTCGTTCGTCTTAAACTCATAGAATAATAAAACTCAATTCTATTGATCAATGATTCTCAGAGTCTAATGAAATCAGAACGTAATGCTGTTATTAAAAATATACGAATACTTTTAAAAGCTCTAGCTATAGATCAACAAGTCGATGAAGAAACAACAGAGACAGGTACCAACAACAACTCCTCAACACATCAAAAACGTATTAAAATAGACACTGTACACGATGTTCTCAAGTCTTTTAATGCATTTGTAGACTCATCATCAGACGATGATGATAAGAGGCCGATGGATAAAGTAGATGATTATATTAAAGCGAAAATATCATACCCAAAAGGAGAATCACTTTTACAACGGTGGCAAAAACACTCTATTATATACAAAAAGTGAGTTTCTTGATTACTATATCATTCTCCTTAAATGCACAAAAAAAATTCAATAAATTAATTTAAATTTGATTCTCCTTAGGTTATCATTATTGGCATGTTCTCTCTTAGCAGTACCTGCAGGTTCTGCTGTATCTGAAAGAATATTCAGTAAAACAGGTCGGATTCTTGAAGTTCGACGTCAACAAATATCACCAGAATCACTTGACTCTCTTATTTTTTTACGAAATTTTTCAGTTGTTTTGTATAAATTGAAGATGTATTATTGATATTTGTACGATACTTATTGTTATGATCATTATCGATCTTAACTGTTTGAAATGTATGTATTTGAATGGAAATGTGATCATACTAAGTTGTGATGGTTTTTTTTGCAATCATGATTATCTATGTGTTTTTTATTGCTATAAAGCTTCTATCATTTTTTATGCTTAATATTGCAATAAACTGATGTATCTTTATAAAATAAACGAATTTAAATCTCTCGGGTCGGGTCGGGCTCGGGTCCAACTATCCTCGGGTCGGGTCGGGCTCGGGTTGAACCTTGTCGGGTAGGGTCGGGCTCGGGTTGAGCCTTGTCGGGTCGGGTCGGGCACGGGTACGACTAAAAGACCTCGGGTCGGGTGCGGGTTCGAAAAATCAAACCCGCGCAGGACTCTAGCTAATGAGAATTGGTTTTTTTTTTACTGTCAAATGCAATATTATTCAAAATTTGAAGTATAACAGAGATCTAAGATGTACTATTCGTTAGAAGAAGTTAATTAATACAAGAAGAACTCTTATGTATATAACTGCTAGAAAACACAAGTTATTAGATTTATATCTTTACATTCTAAAAAAACTTTTATATAAAAAAACAATAATGTATCAATTTTGTTCTTATGTATCAATATCAATTTTTATATCGTTATTTTGACCATGTGTCCATATTCTTTCACCAATATTACTTAATTGAACAAATTTCTCTTTTATCCATGTCCAATCAATATCTTGTAAATTTAATCGATTCACTTGAAAATTAGAACATCGTGTAGGAAAAATTGAAAGTGATTGAAGACGAATTGATTTTAATTTTTCATTTTGTGATGATATTGATAGATGTAATTGAAAAAGCGCACCAAGATCATTTCGATATTCTTGATCAATAGCATAATCATCAACAAAATCACCACAACCATATATAATTAAACCATGAGTTCCATTTTGACGTTGAACAATTTTTATACCTTGTAGATGATGACTTGAATGTCCATGTATAAGATCAACTCCTTGATGAATCATCCAATGAGCAAGTTCTTGAATTTTTTTATCTGGTATCCATTGATAATTTGGACCCCAATGAACAGAAAATATCACGAAATCAGAATTCAAACGAGCATTTGTAATAAGAGGTTCAAGTTGAGTATAAAGTAATGGAAGATCATAATAAGTTAGAAGATGAAATGACGGAACAGAAGACCAATCTGATGGATGATCAGATGCTGAAAGTAAACCAATTCTAAGTGACGTAGAAGAACGAGGTGCTGCACTATTGATTGATATAGGTTTTAATTTTTCAACAATGGGTGAAACTGTTATAGGAACATCAATAAAAACTGGACCAAAAGCATGTTCACGTGTTTTACCAGCACCTATTTATAAACAACGAGACAAAATGTTTAAAATACAAATAACGAAAATTTAAAAATGACTAACCAACATATGATATACCAGATTTATCTAAACTTTCACATGTTTCTTCAAGTCCTTTTATTCCAAAATCTAATGTATGATTATTAGCAAGAGAAACATGATGAATATTTGCTATTGTTAAGCATGCAATATTTGCAGGATGAGTACGATAACTAAAACAAAAACATTTTTTTTCAAATTATAATATCATACGAACAATATACTTGAAAACTTTACCAGGCCATAGTTTCTCATGAGTAGTTACAGCTGTTTCCAAATTAATAATATTTAAATTTCCCTATTCAATGATAATTATTATTTTCTTTTTTTTTTTTGAAAATATTCATAAGATATATTTTACCATTTTCCACAATGGAATTGTATTTCCCCAAACAGTTGCATAATTATATTTATCTTCTTGTAAATAAGGAAAATATGAACTTCGAGATAATCGAAATTGACGAACAATAGACGCTTCTTCAGGATTATAAACAGAAGTTGGAAGTAATTGATCAATTAAACGACCTTCAAATAGAATTCATAGAGAAGTAACAAAAAAATAAATAATTAAATTTCAAAATTTTACCAATCATAACATCACCAGCTAAATTAATAATAATATTTCCTTGTTGATTTGTTGCCATTGTAGATGTGTGTGAAGTACAAAAATGTTTGAAAGTAAAAATTGATGTTACTTGAAATAAACGATTAAGATTAAATATAGAAGAAATACGAGTCATATATCATCTTCAAAATTATATCAGCTAATAGACAAAGATTTCTTTTTCTAACTGAATAGTTATAAAGAAAAGAAAATTGATCAGTTTTTTAAAATTTTCAATGACGAAATATCTCGATAGATATCAGTGCAAATTTTTGATCAGCTGTACTTTTTCTCATTCTTTCCAGACATATCCATTTGTATATTTTATCAATAGAGTTCACTATTGTCGTGAATTCGAAGGAATTCATGTTGAAATATATTAAATCAAATGTGTTTTTAATATGTAGCAAATCTTATTAATTGCTGTTATATTTCTATCTCGACGAATAAAATTGATAGTGAATTCAACATCTGTCAAAGGTTTTGACTGATGAGTGATACAACAAAAGTGATTGTTCATCTTTTTATTGTTCCCGGGTGCATTTGACGATAATGATATCATTTGTTAATTAGCTTTTTCGTTTTTATTTTTATCTCTCTCTATTCTATATTACCTGCTACTTCTACAGTTTTTCATTATAGAATATCAACGTATGTGTATAAGAATTTCAGCATATTTAGCGTTCAAAGTTATTCTTCTTTAATATAAGTTATTTTATCACAAAATTATATGTTTGATACATAGTTGATAATAAAAATAAATTTTAATCGAATAAAGTATTAATATGTTGAGTTTAAAATTGTTTCCCGATTTTTATACTGTATTTCGTATTACAACACGTACAGTTTATCTATAATAGTAACAATAATGAGAAAAGTCTAGTAGTACTAGCCGATCTATATCTCAAAAAGAGACATAATTACAAATTAAATATGAAACTGTAGCATCAAGTGCACGTTGAGATCGATCGTTCTATATAAGAAATAACATAACATATTTTATCAGTAATCAAACTTTCTATCTGAATATTAGAAAGACAGTGGTTAAGTGAATGAACTTAAGTTTTTTATACTTGAGATGTATAATCATGTATTTGACATATCAAATTTTCGTTTGTTATACATAACATGTCAAATCACAAATAGACAATACAATGAAGAATCCAAAGAAGTTCTTCAGATTCTTGAAGAAACTGTTGTTTCATAAAGTTTCACACAGATTAGTCGTTCTTTTCAGTTTATTAAAAGGAAGTGGCTATGTACACTCAGGTGCACATAGCCACATGGCTATGTACACTCGAGTGCACATAGCCACATGGCTATGTACACTCAAGTACACATAGCCACATGGCTATATACACTCAGGTACACATAGCCATGTGGCTATGTGCACTCAGAAAGTTTAAGTCAACTATTTGGTAAATCTCATGCTATAAATAATCTTCTTTGGACTTAACTATTCAGGTAAATAGGATATTACTACTTGTTTTCATTTCTAATTTCATTTCATAAATCATTTATTATTTATTAATATCAAACAAAATTACAAATCATATTTTACAATTACAGATTCAAACAAATAAAATCATATTAAGTACAAATCAAGTATAGACAACAAAACAAAATATACGAATATTTTATTTCAAATAAAGATCAACTAATTTGCAATTGTTTCTAGTACTTCCTTCCTTACGCTTTGGGGGATATTGTCGTCTTTTATTACTCACAATGGTTACAGAAAGTTACACTAACTTAATAATTTCCTTGTCTACTGAATGCAACAATTTTCTGATAATTGGCAATGGAAAGAAACGTTTGTTTTTTTTCTTAATTGGCTTACACAATTGGACATGAGCATGTACAAAAAGCCAATTACCTTGCAATGCGAGAGTCGGTTCTGTATCAATATGCACTAATTAATTTTCGTTCCAATCTTTCTTATGTTATTGCTTTTTAACACTTTCTAAGTGAATGTATCCAACCAATGTTCATTCGTAATAACTATATACCTATCCATTATCACTGAAACTTGACTTATTATTCAACAGAAAATACTTTTCTCATCCCAAGTCTTATCACAACACATGCAAGACGATAAAAACTCATTTTTTACCAAACAATTCGACACTTGGAAGGATTTTGAAGAACAATTTTTAAATTGGTGCAATCATTATCATCAGCCTGTAAATATTAAGCGTTCATCGAAGAAGTACAATGAAAAAACAATGAAGGAGTTTTTCGACCGTTTTCGTTACGAACATGTCAAATATGTTTGTCATCATAGCGGTCCTGTTCGAAGAAATATCAAAGATGGATCAAGACCAAATCAAGAATCAGCACGAATTGAATGCGAATTTTTTTTTAAAATTAAGCATGATACAGAAATCAACAAAATTGTTTTTATGAACATCAAAAACTTAACACATAGTCATCCTATAGATGAAAGAATTTACAAAAATTATTCATTTATAAGAAATAAAGGATTAACAGAAAATAAAGAAGCACACGACTTATGCAAAACGCTGATTAGTGCAAATGCTACAACATATAATAGTCGAAAACTATTGAACGAAAAATATGATATTAATCTAACTAGAAAAGATATAAATAATTTTAAAAATAAGATAAAATTTAATATGGTTGGAAATCTAACTGATCCAGAATTACTGCAAATTTTGATAGATGATATTTTAAATGAAAATCCAAATAATTCAATCCAAATCAAACTGAATGAAAATGGAAATCTAGAATGCCTATACATTCAAACTATGGAAATGAAATCATGGCTTCAAAAGTATCCGAACATATTACATCTCGATTCAACCTTCAAAATTAATATAGAGAATTATCAACTTTACATATGTATGACGCAAAACGCAAACTTAAAAGGAGTACCTGTTGCGTATTGTTTAATGACTAGTGGCACCAAAGATAATTTAGAATTTTTTTATTCTGCAATGCGTGATCACAATGATTTACAGGAAACTCAGGTTATAATGGTTGATAAAGATTTAACAAACATTGATATTTTACAAAATTATTTCGTTAATGCAAGAGTACTACTATGCACTTTTCACGTCCTAAAATATTTAAAGCTACAAGTTCATAAACTTAAAATCCCATTGTCAAACCGAATGAAAATAATGAAAAATATTCGTCGATTACTTTACGACAATGATCAAATGTCAGCAATTTACTTGAAAGAAATTAGAACTGAATCAGAAGGAACTAATTTTTATCAATATTTTGAACTAAATTGGTTATCTTGTTGTGAAATGTGGCAAACCAAGTATCGGAAAAATCTACTCAACTTCAATACGAATACCAATAACCATTTGGAACGCTTTAATCGTACATTGAAAGATCGTATATCACCTAACATGCACATATCAGAATGTGTAACAAAATTGATTTTAGCTGCAGAGGATGCCAGAGTTGAAGAAATGAATATATGCGTCAACTTGAAACAAAAAATTTACAATGGTAATGATTCAACATTGGTTCAACTATTTGGTTTTCAACTAGTGAATAAAGCAATCGATTTATTGCGTAAACAGAATGAAGAATTAAAAATGAAACATTATTTCATAGAAGAACTTGAAGAGAATAAATGGAAAATTGGTCAAAAAGACGACGATAAAAATCATTTTATAACTTCTAGCATTGTTCATCGTGATTCATATGAGGATTTACTTTTTTGCGATTGCGAATTTTTTTTACAGAATCAATTACCATGCCGACATCTGATATTTTTATTTGACATCTTGTATGATGAAACAATTGATAAAGCCAAAACGATTGAAGAAATTTTATCAGTTAATAAGCGCTGGTTAAAAGCTACAGTTGACGATTATTTAAACGAAACCGCATATAACGACAGTAAACAAAATTTCAATTTACAATGCAAAATAACTCAAATGGCACCTAAGAGACACCAAACTTTAAGTATTAATGACAAGTATAATATCGTAAAGCCAACTTTGGATCTCTTAACAGCTCGTATAACTCAATGTGGAACGGAAGAATTTCGTGATCATCATACTTTTCTCAATATTGTTTTAGATCTAATCAATGTAAATAAATTTAAAGAATTGTATAATTACGCAATCAGTTTGGAATGTAAAGACATGGAGCAACCAGGATGTAAAACAGAGCCACACTTTATTACAAAGTCAAATGATGATATACAACAAGAGCCATCAACGAAACAAACAGTACTCAACCATGAAGAAACAGTTAAAAAACAACAAGATATGAAGATTAATCTAGAAGCACTGGAACAAGAATATGACACGGAATTGCGTGATGAATACGAAGAAGCTTTACTAAACTTAGAACTAACACAAGAAGAAGCGAAAGACGAAGATCAACCATTATCAACAAATCAATTGATTTTAAGTTATTCGCCAGTTATCAATCCTCGAGGTCGACCTCGTGGCAAAACATCATTAGTTTCTTATAAACGAACAAATAACAAAATTGATAAACAAAGAAATAATAAAAGAACTTATAAACAAGTTTCACCAGATCTTCAAACATATAAGTATAAACGTAATAAAAAAGTAGAATCTGTTCGTGATGTGTACGGCAACACAACGTGGTTAACTGATTTACATATATATTTATTCTTTGAATTACTGAAGAAAGAGTTTCCCAATATTAATGGTTTATGCGGTCCGGCACAAATACATTTATATACAGGCTCATTAGAAAATTCGATCTTTATTTTCAATGCTAACAGCAATCATTGGTTAACAGTAGCAAATTTAGAATCTGAAAATATTTGGAAAGTTTATGATTCTCTATCTTATCCAACAGAATCATTAGTCAAATTTTTTCAAGATGTATTACCTGGTGAAGAAAAAGTTGTTTTATCATTTGAAAATGTACAGCAACAAGTTGGTGGTCATGATTGTGGATTATTCGCATTAGCCTTCGCCACATCTCTTTGTTATGGAGATATTCCATCATCATTATTTTATGATCAAAAATCTTTACGTAATCATTATGTTAATTGCATTGAAAATAATGAAATACAACGATTTCCTTCAAAGCCTAAGAGAGGAAGTACTAGAAACAATTGCAAATTAGTTGATCTTTATTTGAAATAAAATATTTGTATATTATGTTTTGTTTTCTATACGTGATTTGTACTTAATATGATTTTATTTGTTTGGATCTTTAATTGTAAAATATGATTTTTAATTTTGTTTGATATTAATAAATAATAAATGATTTATGAAATGAAATTAAAAATGAAAACAAGTAGTAATATCCTATTTACCTGAATAGTTAAGTCCAAAGAAGATTATTTATAGCATGAGATTTTCCAAATAGTTGACTTAAACTTTCTGAGTGCACATAGCCACATGGCTATGTGTACCTGAGTGTACATAGCCATGTGGCTATGTGTACTTGAGTGTACATAGCCATGTGGCTATGTGTACTCGAGTGTACATAGCCATGTGGCTATGTGCACTCGAGTGTACATAGCCATGTGGCTATGTGCACCTGGGTGTACATAGCCACTTCCTTATTAAAAATATCCATAGGGCTCTTTTATATCATTGATATTATATAGTTTATAAAGATTAATATGTACATGTGGGTTAACCGATTTATGAATATCAACAGAAAGCATAGAAATTATCGCATGACCTTTAATTCTTTACTAATGTATTGTAAAGTATACACGCAAATGTAAATAAATCCATAGCCTATGAGAGAATTAAGTGAGCTTATAAAAATCGATTGCATCTATTTATTATTATTTTTTTTTGTGAAAGAAAAAAAATTTATAGAATATCTTCATGTAGTAATCATTCAATAGAATTAAATGATAATCATAAATATGAATGACAGGACCGACACAAGAATTGTTGTTAAGCAAGATCTATAACATTGTTCATATATCAAAAGAATATTTTATTATTCGACTAACCCGAGCATTGATGAACTTGCTAAAATTATAAATAAAAATGAAATATAGTATTAGAAAAATAAGATATTTCATAATTACCTATTGGTGTATGTGCGCAAGGTCGATTGTCAATTAATTCAAACATTTGTACGCGATTATTTTCCATATCCATAACATAAAGATTTCCTTTCATATCAAATGCTAAATCAGCTGGTTTATATAATTGATTAGTTGCATTACCGGCACCTTTCAGTTAACAAAAAAAAAACAAAAGAACAGACACAAGATAAATGTCAATATTAATCAATCGTTATATTGTAAATATAAATAATATTAAAAAAAACATACCTTGGTCACCAGCTATTGTATCACCTTGAGATGCAAATGGTCTCCATCGTTGAACTCGATGATTTGATGTATCAATAATATAAACAACATTTGTTTCTTCATCAACAATAACATCATTCGGAAAATTTAAAGTTTCAGGATCATGACCTTGAGTTCCTTGACTTGATCCAGCTACTGTAGTTCCTTCACGTGAATCTTGTGTCCAATTTTGAATTCGACTATTCCACATATCAGCTACATAAATGATATTTCCATCTCTAGTCACATAGATTCCTTGAGGATGATCAAGTAGACCACTTGTTGATCCATTAGCATCGGTCTTTCCAGCGACAACAATTGTCATATTTGTTCGAGGTGACCATTGAATAACACGATGTCTATTTGATTCTGACATATAAACATATTTTTCTTTGTCAACTGATACACCTGAACATAATTGACATTCATCACCAACTTGAACACCTTGTGTTGCTCCATTGATCCATTTTTCAACACGATTTTTAAATCGTAGTGAAACATAAACAGTTGGTCCACTAGTATCATCATCGACATAGATTTTCATTGGATTTTCTATATTAGATGCGATTGTAATACCCATCTTTGATGGATCATTGAGTGCAAATCTTTGAACACGATTATTATAAAAATCAGCAACATATAATTCACTTCTTTCTTTATGAATGAAAATTCCTTTTGCTGAATTAATTTGATAACTAGAATTACCAGCTTCACCAGTTCCAGCTACTGTTGCACCTGTTGTATTCCATTTTGCACAAGGACTAATTGTACTTGATACGATAGATAAACAAAAACATAAGATGAATGCTTGAATAAAAACAAATACGATGTTTTTCAATATACACATTTTGCCTAACTAATGAATATGCATTATCATATTTACGTAGAATATGAAAGTTGCAGAGTAATGCATACACAATAAAAAAGAAAAAAAAATACTGACTTTAAAAGATAAGGCATATCTATATCTATATGACATTTATAATAAATATTAGAAAGATTGTTTATTTTCCTATGTTATATAATATTTAGTTGAATATGTCATTGATGGAAATACACACATCAAACTTGAATATCCATCAATTATGAACTACTCGATATATAACAAGAATGTATTAGAAAAAATAATCGAAGTTTTTTTTAATTTACGATTATAAATAAATTTTTCTACATTTGCTAATGAAAAAGTTTTTTCATTTAATAGACGAGTTTACATCTAACAAAATAGCTCATAGTTGATAAACAATATTTTTATGTGGGGAATGTTTTGTCTTTTCTTTGAATTCATTAGTCATTCGCTTCTTGACTGTGACTATCATATTTAGTGATTCTACTATGAAGTGATGCAGTGAGTATAACTATGGATGTTGATCTAGATGTTCTCTTCACATAACTACTCACATATACATATTCTACTCGTTATTTTAAGAATGAAACATTTAAATCTTTACTGACATTCGCCACGCAGCAGTAGATAAATGATTTACTTCATTATTGTATGGTGAGCGCAGCAAAACTTGATTAGTACTGAAATCAGAGGCAAACCATAATTGACTGAATTTCGATACAAAAGTTTCAGTGAGCTTTACTAAATCAATCTCTATTTATTTATTTATTTATATACATTTAATTAATAGTACAAGTATATGTTAATCAAGATTTGCAAATAATTTTATTAATAATTTTAGTTAAATAATTATTCATCAAATTCAAATATATTGCCGAATTTTTTCTCGTAAGTATTGTCGCAGTTCACGGTCGTATAAAGACAGATCGATAATATCTGCCAGCAAGCACAATGTAGCAACAGCTGAAAGTATTGACAAAATAAGCGGCGAAATAAAGATTGAATCGCGTATAACTAAAATCAAGTAGACAGGTGTCCATCCACTCACAAATATGCAAAACATGAAGATCATCTGTCGAAGTAGATGTAAATCACGACAACTGATTTTCGGTTGTTGAGCGTTGCCAGTATTTACTTGTGACGATACAGATTGTAGTTGAATACGTCGAGTTGAAGATCGAGCATATGCAAATATGAGAAAATTGATGATAAGACAGATGAATGACGGCACTATGACGATCATAATCAATGCATAAATGTTCATCCATGGTCGAAAAGAACAATACTAGAAATGAACATTACATAAATAACATTTCAAATGTCTAGTTTTTGCCAAAGAGTCATATATATACATATGTGGTTGATCTTATACTAACAAATATTTCATAAAATTTTAAAATCAGAGTTTCAATCACGTATAACACAAAAATTTGGGCAATCCAAAGTTTCATCAATAAGACTTTTGCCAATAGCGAAAGACCGGTTGAACAAGTCTTTTTCTTGAAAAGTCGTTCATTAGTTGCATGAAACAAGAGAAAATCATTAAAAACGCCTTTTTTCTCTTTCAATCGAGAGTGCCAATGGCATGTGTATGAGAGAAACAGAAAAAAAGTAAAAAATCACTTTCTTGATTTTTCACAGGCTTCATATCCTGCCCATTGAACAAAGCAACGACATTCATCACCACATACATAATGTGTCGAACTAGCTTTGCAAATACCACCACACTTGTCACCAGATTGATGAATGTTTAGACTAGAAAAAGAAAATGAGAATGTTGATACTTTGTGATGTAAAGATAATGCTGTCACTGAAGTGTTTATGATTACCTACTTCAAGCTAATCATAGCTTCACTAGTTAATGTTACCATGAAAAATAAAACCACAAAATATAAGATTATCTTTATATTCATTTTCTAGATTCTTTTCTTTTCTTTTCTTATTAGTTCTAAAATTAAATGACAAAACGTCCTTGGCATATATTTAAATAGAAGAATACAGACATATTCTATAAAAAAATGCTTTAGATATTTATTTGCTTTTGTCCTATACGAACTACAAGTATTGTGTGTTTTGATCCGCATGACTCTACAGCACTTGAGCAACTCAATGTTGTTCGTCGCATAAAAAAAGTCACTACGCAGCAAATAAATTTTTCAATTTAAATCCAGAACAAAATAAATATATTCCTAATTTTGTAGGTTTACGTATTCGATCACAATCCATGATAATTGTATTCGTTTTGAATGATCTTCGGCTTACTGTTTTAAGAAAGTTTCTCTGAAAAGATGTTATATGTGGCAGTTATCATTGTAAATTATATAGATTGAAAAAATGACTGCACTATCATATCAATTGAGATGTCTTATAAATCGAGCAAACACATTGCTTTTGTATGATGTTCATCTATCGAACAAGTAAATTCTGCGTAATAAAAAAGACATTCATTTTCATCGAATATTTCACAAATCAATATGCAATCATTAGAAAATGATGCTCTTAAACAAATCTTGCTGTAGAATAGCTGAAAAATAACTTTGTTTTATTGTGGTCTATTTTCTCGATAATACTAAACTAGACATCAATCAGTGTTAACTCATATGATTTTTCGTCCAAAGACATTCATAAATGGAAATTCAAACATTTGTAAAATGTGTGATGATGTATAAATTTTGATTTTAAGAGGAGGTGTTGAACATAATCATGATTAAAATCATAAAATTTACTCATTTCATTTCAGCATTATGCATTAGTGAATTTTAATTCTCTCAAAAAATACATCTGTAGTTTTGACGACATTTTTCTTTCGAATTTATCTTTAGTCAATAACGAACCATCTTTAAATATACGAAGATAATATAAATCAACTAGTTTGTCTTTTTCTTCCGATAACGGGTCGGCAAGATGGTGATACTAATACATTATGTAAAAGACAAATAATTGTGTACTGTAAGAATCATGTTATTGTTCTCTAATACATATTACTTATAGTCACAACCATGTATTTCTTCGATATCAAATAGAATAAATAAATTCAAAAGAATCCACAACCCTACAGAAAATTTTGATCACTTTATTTCATTTCTATTCTAATACATATGCAATACTATTTTTGAATAACCTATAAAATGCAATAAATCCACCGCGACATTCAGAACCTTTGATATGTTCTACCAGCCAGATCAGTCAGGTGTATAGAGTGACATTCATTCGGCGGGAGAATCATATTTGTAAATGAACATATAATTTTACTACAGATGCATGCACTTCATCTTCTAATCACTTTGACCATACATTAATCTGTTTGATCTCCGAAAACAGAATACTGAATGTAGATAAGGATTTGCGCAAATCATGTAGAAATATCCAAGAAAAGATCAGAAAAACTCACTATTCGAAATCAAAAATTGGTGATCAAAAGTACGTTTTTCCAATTTATATTTTGAAAATTTTTCATTTTTATTGATAACTACTTAATCAAGATAGTTTCATTTCACTAGTGGCGATACTTTTGTAAATCGGACTCTTGTGGTAAGAAATAATATCGCTGAAGTCATAACCTTAATAACCAATATTAAATAAAATGTTTTGAGAAAAGCAAGAAAAAAAAACATGATTGTAATCATTTATATATATATTAATATCAAATAATGCATCTATTCAAACATATATTGATTAAATCTAACCAAACAAAAGCTATGTTACATACGTGTATAAAAAATCAATAAAATATTTGAATGTTGATGTAACAGAACAAATAAAAATTTAGTTTATGTTCTATGTGCAAATTTTGAATCATTTTCTTGATCATGATCAGAAGAACATCTTAAAGCTCTAGCTCTCTTTTATTTATATGAAATCAGAAAATAAAAAATAATACTAAAAGATAATCTTTTGATTACTTTCAATAATTTACGAATGCGTCAATATCTAAGTTGTGGTTACAAAGATGACATTTCATAGTATTGAGAATCTCTTGTCCTGCTAAAAGCAAAAGTTTACGAATTAGGTATCATCAGACAAGGCTTTGAAAGTTGATTATGGTTGAAATGAACTATTGACATAAATCTGTTAGTTATCATTACCATAAAATATGAACTAAGATAGACAATAAATTACTTTCAACATTCGTAAAATCAAATATTAACGATTCTTTTGAATTAATAAAAACCAAAAATTTAATTGGGTTATAAAATTTTCAAGATGAATAAAAAAAATCTTTGAAATATTTATTTCTCATATTAGTTGTATGATTTTATTATTTAATCCTATTTAAAAAGTTCTCCTACATATAAACTATCGAAGCTAATTACTAGATCTATTTGGATCTGTCTTTAGACTTTCAATTCTTTAGAATTTACCTTTTAAATTAAATTTCAGTTGATTTTTTATAAAACGAAAGGTGAAGGTTATCCTTGTAAAAAGTCAATCAGATCTTCTCTCATCAAATAGATTATTATTGGGCAACTCTGTTACGATAAGAGTCTCAGCCTAATATAAATGATAAGAGAGAATAATTATTTAAAGATCGTTTGCATATATTGACATAACTTATTCTTCATATTCTGAAAAGTCTTTGTATATTTTAGATCCTAATTCTATTGATACAAAATATCAACATATTACAATGTCGTTACCACTCATTTCTCCAGTATCATCAAATACGAACGATGAATCAGCAGAATTAATTACTTTTTTCAGTTAGATATTAGATTTTTGTCCAAACAGTATATTGACTATGCAACATCGGCCAGTCATTGTAATCGCTTTTGTGCAATTAAATAAAGCAGTGATGACTAATCATGGTCGTGTAACTACTGATTTAAAATTTCTTATTGGTTATGTTTCTAGTTCAAAAGCAGACTGCCGATATTGTCAATGACATACTATCTTAACAGCTGAACGTTATGGAGCTACTTCAGAAAAATTGGCATACATTTCCGAATATTCTACTTATTCTACTTTCAATGATGCCGAACGAGCAGCTCTTGATTTTGCTGTAGTTGGCTCGACAGTACCTAATGCTGTAAACAGTCCGATTATTGAATATCTACATAAATATTGGAATGATGGTGAAATTGTTGAAATTTTAGATGTAATCAGTTTCTTTGGATATCTTAATCGATGAAATGATTCAATGGGGACTATAATAGAGCTAGAAGCTATAAATGCAGGTGAGAAGTATTTAGAGAAAAATGGATGGTCCCCTGGAAAACATACAGAAACGAAACATTCATCTTAAAATAGTCTCAACATTTAACAAATGATTGAGAACATTTATTAAATAGATATTTATTTAAATTTTAGTTTTTATCAAAGAAAATTTTTGTTTCCAACTTATCTTCGATATTATTTACATATTCATAGTTTTTCATTTTATTTTGTTTAAACGATCGATTTCGATTTGGCTCTATAGAAAAAAAAAAGTATTTTAAAAGAAAAAGCAAAATAACAATATTTAAAAATTAGTTTGCTCAATAGGAAGATTGTGTACTGCATATGAATAGTTAACAACAATATTTAAATTTCGATATAGGATTGCATCTTTTCATGGTTTGTATCTTTTTCAAAATCTATTTGAATTAATTAAATTTATTCCTAGAATGGATCATAATATTTGTTTGTAATATTTCATTATTATTTTCATTTTTAAATTCAAAGAATGCCTCAGCCATATTGACAATAAGAAAATGATTATTGAATTCGACATACATTTCTAATCTATTCAGTAAATTAAAATTTTTTTTTTTGTTACTTTTTATCTAATGAAAAATTAGTATGATCTCATATGTAGAATTATGGAATGTTACAATCTCAATCGGCAGAATCCTCAACGAACAAAATTGCCAAGGGAAAAATATTGAAAGAAGATGACACCAAGAAATCAAAATCTCGAAAGTGCAGAAATATAAGTTACATTGAACAAATCTATTTTTTTTCTTAATATGGAAATACAATTTGTACAAATATTTGAAATATACAAAACGTCTTAGCCATTTGTTTGCTGGTGTTTAATCGTATTTTCTTCGATTACGGAAATATTTCTCAAAGAAATTAGCTTTCAATCGATGAACAACGTAACAATCGTTGAAATAAAATACACAATTTATAAATCATATTACTTACCAAGTTGATAATAATAATGCTCATTTACAGATTGATAAACATAAAAATGAAATATCAAGATTTTTTTTACATCGATAAAAAAATTTTATGGAAATAAATTTAGTTGCTATTTTGATATATGCACTGATTCTTGATTTTTATGTTTCTTTATCTTTTATTTAATTTAAACTAAATTGAATATCATAGAATATTTATTCTACTATCTAGTTTATAATAAAATTCTTCGAAACAAAAAAATGCGATTGTCTTATGAATTTTTAGAACTATGTATTCAAACAAAGGGGAATAATAGACGATTATTTTGTTACAAATATTTTTCTCTATTTGCATCGTATTACAGCCACATCTAAAGAAAAATATTCCTTAAATGAATAAAAAATCGTTGATTGTTTTAATAATATAGCAGCAAATGATGTTACGCAAAACCAGTCAACCGACATCTGTATAACCATGTCTTATATTTCTTTTGAACTGATCACGTGATTGTTTTCATGACTGGTATTATTAAACACAAAATTGGAAAAATTTCTGCAACATAACATTGCACACATTGCATGTTGTTACAACTACGATATGAATTCCTTTTTGCCACTTGATACAATACCGATCACATCCATTAGCGTTCTGTACATGCTTGAGAATTTCGTTTATGTTAAAGTAAGTGTTAAGTGCAAAGCTAAAAAAACAAAAATTACAGATTCTAGTAGAAGAAAACATGACAAACATTAACAACAATCAGTCCACTTACTTACTTAAACAGTGAATAAAAGAAAATATATTCAGATTAGTTTTTGTGTTTGTTGTGTTGCACTTTTTTGATAATATACATTGAGATGCAGTGAGTATTTGAATCTTGGTGAACGACAACGCCATTCTTTCCTATATTCGACGTTATACCTATATTATCCAGAACGTAAGTTAATGACTAAATAATAGTATAACAGCCATGTTAATGCTATATGTATTTGAAAAAAAAACAATTGAGCGATTCAATTAACAATTTATTCAAACAAAAAAGTCTACCTTCTTGAAATATAAGCAAAAACTCTATACAACAAACTTTTTGATGTCTCAAAATCTTCCTTGAAGTCTTTGTTCAAAAAATTCTTTGACTTCCTTTTTTGAAGATAAAACCCAATCAATCTGCTTTTGGGAACATAAAACACAGTTCAATTTTGTTAGAAATGATAATATTGATTATTAGTATTATTGTTCTATATTGAACTCGCGTTTTATTTTTTTCTTTTAAAGGATTAAATAGCAAATCGTCCATTAATGGCTCAACATATGCAAGTCAATCTATTTCCTGATTATCATAATGAAGTTCAAAATTTGACACCTCGTTCCATACATGTTGATGTTAAGCATTTGCATGATGCTAAAAGTGTTCGGTTCGTAGGCTATTATATATTTTAATGTGTAAAACTTTTCATTTCATATAGAGGATTTGGCCCAATCAAATGTCTTCTTGGTATACTCATAACATGTCTTCTTGTAGGAGTCATAGGTATACCTTTTATCATCACACAGAAAGTGATAACAACAACAACAAGCACTACTTCTACCTCAACAACATCAACTACTACCACATCAACAACGACAACAACTACTACTACAACTACCACGACAACAACGACAACAACAACAACATCAACAACAACAACAACTACCACGACAACAACAACAACATCAACAACAACAACAACAACAACAACCTCAACTACTACTAGCGAAACAACAACAACAAGTAATTTAAGATCATATTAAAAACTAAGATTTATGACACAATATAATATTTGAATTCTAGCAACAGAACTATGTGCTTCTGGTTATTCAAGATCTCCATCAGGAACATGTGTTAATCTTCAAATTGATTTCAACAATTGTGGTTCATTTGGTTATGTATGTGCTTCATCTTATACTAGTTGTTCAGCAGGTGTATGTAGTAGTGCACCTGCTGTACAACTTGTTGGTGCTATTGCTATACCAGGATGGGGTGGTCAATATTCAGTAGATGATGCTTATGTTACACTTACTCTACCAATGAGTTTAACAATGTATGGTTATTCAACATCAACTATATCTGTTACAACTAATGGTGTAAGTTTTTGAAAAAATGGAAAATACATTTTGAAAAATATATTTTGTATGAAGGGAATGTCATTCATATTTAGGTTCTTTGTCTTGGTAGTTGTTCTTCTGATTATACAAATGGAAATCTTCCAAGTAGTAGTTTCGGAGGACCAACCGCATTTGGTTATTGGGATGATCTTATGATTTATTCTGGTACATCTCAAAGTGTATATTATAGTGTTGCTGGAACAGCACCTAATCGATTAGCAACATTTGAATATTATACAAGTCATTATGGTCAATCAACTCAATATTATCATTTTCAAATATTATTTTATGAAAATTTTCCTGGTATTGTCAAGTATATTTATTTTCAAGCATCTGATGGAGGTTCATCAGCTACAATTGGTGTACAAAGTAAATGAGATTCTTCCGTTAATTTTTTTTGTGTTATTGTGAATAATAACATTTCGCTTGAATTCTAGGTTCATCAAGTGGATCTACTATGACTTATTCAGTGAATCAAGCAAATTCAGTGACAAGTAATATGGTATTAACTTTTGATACAAATGCGGGTACGTTTTCAGGATAGATGACAATCAAGAGATTGACTTCATGCCTAATGAACATTGTACTATATGCCTGATACTTGTTTGTCTGTTGAATCTCGTTAGTTTCTTTTTTCTACTCTTACATTTTTTTTCACATATGCATAAAAATATGATGATAATAAAATGTTGGTATAAAACATTTTCTTCTGTTTTATTTTAATTCCTTTAAACAAACCTCTTATTATATTTAGTTTTTGAACAAATCACTTGTTTTCATTTGCGTCCAATAGAGAGAATGTCTTATCCCCATTCAACCACTTGTGAATCTAAGGAGAGACGAATGCAGCAGTCTCTCCCTCCTTGGAAATTTATGTATGGTACACGCTAAGTATCTTTGCATTTGTATGAGATTTAAAGAGACAAATAATTTGTATATTTCACTGTTTTGAATGTTGTAAGTGCCCGTATTCGACAATGAACGATTCAAGATGACGACATCAACTAATATGTAGAAGCTCTACGTATTCTTATACTCGTATCGAATATTCATTAACCTGTTAAATATATGACTTCTCTTCCTGTCAGACAACTGATAAGGGTTTGCAGAGTTCAACATTGAAATAACCAATGTTCATGCTAACAATTCATTTGTACTTGTCCTATCGATGATTCATCAGTATGAACATGAGCCAAACGATCTATGTAATCCATGCTCTGGATGATATTTGATGCTAGGTGATCTTTTCGACTAGCAAATTTCTTTTAATATGGGAGGAAAAATAAATGCGCAACTCGTCACTTTAGAATTAGACGCTTTTATTTAGGAGAAGATCAACATGAGTAATTCTTTAATGAGAAGGCATTGAGACACTAAAGCAAATTCACGTAGGCACACTTATCTCTTCTTGCTTACTTATAAATTGTTTCAAGTATTAGAAAGGTAAGCGCTCTTTTTTTTAAAACATATAACTACCGATTGCTAAGTAGTGAGTGTCATTATCATTTTTCTCTCATCCACCCTCATTGAAATTTTATTTACAATATTCTCGATAATTTATTGAAACATTAGTAGTTTATTCAAGTTTAGTTATCATACAATCATCCACCTATTCACCTGTTATCTAGGGAAAATCTTCTGTGTGTGTAGTGCAAAATACTCATCAAGTCAGATGATTGTGTTCTTGTACATCATATACTCGTGTTCGAATATCAATTTAACGGTGGCAATCTGTCCGATGGTTTATGCAATAATTGAATCATGGAAGCTGCACTGCGTAAGCAGTTCGCGATGATAATGTACCAGAAAAAAAAAGACTAACACTATCGAGGTGGTTGGATATCCAGTTGACGGCAATCTCAACCTTAAACGTTACATGATTCAAATGCACTATGACAGTGCTAAGCTGGTATTGAGTAACACTTTGGATTGCAAGTGCGACAAAAGAATATAGACAAATCGCCATGACAGCACAGATTTTCCATTATATGGGCGTGGCCAACCGACCTGATACCCCATAGGAAATAATATTATTCCAGGAAGAGTATATAATGAAATTTTATACCAAATGAAAGCTCGCCAAAAAGGGTGGGTGTGGATGTGGGGGTGGGTGTGGGTGTGGGTGTGGGTGTGGGTGTGAGTGTGGGTGTGGGTGGGTGGGTGTGGGTGTAGGTGTGGGTATCGGTGGGTGGGTGGGTGTGGGTTTGGGATGTGGGTGTTGAAATGTTGTTTCCATCGACACTCACACTTACAACCACACCCCCACACCCACATACCTACACAACCACACCCACACCTACACAACCACATCCACATACCCATATCCCAAACCCACCCACCCACACCCACACCCACACACACCCGAGCTATTCAGTAAGATAATTATTGGTAAATATACTAATATACTAACAATGATTCTCTATTCAACATTGTAACCCTGTATGAACGGTTACGTCTTCCCTGTATTATTCGTTACGACAGTCCTGATTTGACACTCTTACGTCCTTTGAAATATACCGTGAGAAATTCTATATTAGCTGTTATGAAAGCCCTGTAAAATTCGTTACGACATCCCTGTTTTCTCGTATGTAGCTATTTTTGGTGTTACGAAAGCCCTGTTTTTTTCTGAAAAAAAACAACTCGCCACGTGACGAGTTGCAACGTTCTCCTTCCACTAAACGCTATTCAATTGACAGACTGAATGAAACACGTTTGGACTCATTGCTTTCTAAAACGCAGTTGAACATATAGTTATGCCGTTTAGTTAGTAAGAATAAATACTTTAAAAATCAAGTTGCGGCTGTGCAAAAATGCGTCCACGAGTTCAGCGTGCTACATCTTCGTTGCGATAGTATTACCATTCGAGGAGATACTATTATAATAGTAATGATTTTACAGGAGCATATAATATTATGGTGGGTGTGAGTGATTATTGTTCAGGCATGAATTTTGATGGAGAGAACATTAATATCCACACCTATACACCTATAGAATAAAAAAAAAGATAATGCTTTTCATCAACAAGTTCCTGTCGCTACAAACTTTTCTTGTAATTATGGCATGTTTTTTTTATTATTTGACGAAAAACGCTTATGTTCATTTTTTCTTTCAAATAAGATCACTAACGGAGACATTTTGTCATAACCTTGATGCAAACAATAATCAGTAGAAATTCTTCTAGCAGCTGCAATGTGAAAGAAGCACTGTGCGCCAAAATTTTAAAAATCTACAGAAAATAAGCAACGTAATCATGATAATTGCTGAACAATAACGCTCTTCTACAAAGAGAAAACACATTTGATATAAATTTTTTTCCAGTGCTACTGCAGTATAGACATGCATCAGTTGAAATATACGATTTCTGATAACGACAGAAAGAAACGATTTTTCCAACTAATGTCGAAAAGTAAAAATGTTAGGAATCTACAGCTCATATGAGCGTGAGTAATTCCTTGTTTGAAAAATATGTAAAATGCCAAGCTTGATTCATTCACTTTTCATCATATTTCTCTCCCGACATGTTTTTGATTCAACCGATCGAGCTAGGATTTTCGTGATAGTTTGCAAGTTAGGCGATAGAGATAAGCTTTTTAGATATTTTTCGAGTAACGTGATCCTCTAAATCGAAAACCATCTGAAACGTCCTATTTCACTCGCCTAAATCAAGAAACGTCCCAAAATAATTTTGCATAGTGTCGATGTGCGATTCTCGTTTTTCTTATTAGGGATATTTCACAACGCTATCTCATTAATGTGAAGAAATAAATACCGAACAGCTGGCAAGCGCTTCGCTGCATCAAACACAACACTGCCGTTCCTTGCAGTGCGCATGCCACTTTCTCTCACTTTTCTCAATGAAACTGGCACTGTTGAGCAAGAAAGAGAGCTTCAGTCGGTTGTGAGTATAAACAGTTTCTTTCAGTGTTCCACCCTATGTTTTCTCTACAGCATCAGCTTCCGTTTTCATTTGAATACCTCACATAAGCAGACAGACATTTCGAAGACGATGATCAATTCTATATCGATTATAAGAGCAGGATACTCGCTGCAGTCACTCTTCGAATATCGTCAAGTTCAGATTTACAAGATTCTACTCTCTGCAGGTACCCACTTTTCTTTTCATTTTAGAGCAATTGAAAGAAATTCACTGCAACTGACAAGTGTGTTATGTAGAGTACGAGGAACAGTGATAGATTGGCAATTAATACTCTCTGATAAAACCATTTGAATGTCATTTTGTAGCAGTTATATTTTCCACCTTCTCTCGATTAAGAGTATTTGTCGTGAGAGCTCACGCAGAAGCGGATATATGACTATATCGAAATCAGAAATCTGATTGTAGATTTGGATTCGCCATAAGAAATTTGACCGAGTTTGAAAGTTTCAGACTTTTCTGACGAAGTTTAGGGGTCTCCAGCTTCTATTTTCTAGAATTCAGCGGGTTTTGTTGAAAACCTTTTCTCTTTGCTACCAATGGAAAACTTTTTTTTCCATTTCCAAATGTTTCCCAATGCTTAATCTTTCGAAAACATCGATAAAATAGGGATGTAAGTTTTCTTCAGAGCTTAAAGCCTGATTTGAGTTTTTAGGACCACCAATCTACATCGAATTCTTCAATTTTTGACCTTAGGTAAGTTTTTTCAGTGAAACTAATATTAATTACATATTCAAAATGGGGGCAAAATGTCGAATCGAATAATGTAGCTCGCAGCTAAATTGAAGCACACTTTGGTTTTTCAGTAAGATTTTGTAGAAAATTCGAAAAACAAAAGCAAAGTTTTCAGATCATGATTATACCCATCTGAGGCACTTTTTGACATTGATTTTCAATATCTATCTAGTTTTCTTTTCTTGCAGTTCTAGCAGCTCTGTTCTCACTTGAAAGTTGAGAAACTGGTAGACCGTAAACGGACGTTCAGGCTTCATGTCGTAGTCTTTTTTCCAAGCCCAGTAGTCAGTTTCTGTGGAAAAAATGCTTCAGAAAGTTAAAGCGGAGAAATAAGCTTTTGTCAGAGAATTTTTAGACATACAGAATTTTATCTTTACGAATTCTACGAACTCGGTCAATATCGTTTTATAGCGTTACAGGGAAATGTACAGTACTATCCCGCATGATGGATAGTTTTGCACATTCAACACTGAAGCTGAAAAGAATATACGAGCCTTGAGTCTGCCTTTCAGCTGCTTCTGCGACTTTCGCAGCTAGTGAGCAGGCCTTAGACTCTGGTTTCACTAGCCATAGTGGCTCAACTCAACCAACAGTGGAAAGGCGTTCATACAATCTCTTCTACTAATGGGTGGCCGTAGAAATGTCGGAAGGAAAAATATCGAAAATAGAGGCACCACTTATCGCATCACTCACATGTTTTCTGGCGCCTCTATTTTCGACATTTTTCCTTTCGACATTTCCACAGCACACCCTATTAATAAGAACCCTTGTACTTTGCAGCCTTTATTTCCCAAAACGATTCGGATTTGTTTTTTTTTGAAGACACTTTATCAGTACCAACTCTTTATTCAAGGACCCGCCGTTAGGGAACTGAA